CCATCCGACACAGACGGGTCAAACGGCTACGTTCTGCGCCCGTGCCGAGGCCGAGCGCTCGCAGAAACAGGTGTCATGCAAACCCAACCCCAGGAGCCTGCTCTTCCGCCTCACCACCGCTTTACCCTAGGACAGAGGTTTCCGTCCGTGCCAGATGTACGCAAGTCGACTTTTTTTTTTTGTTTTTCCCTCTCTCCTAAACACGTCAGGGGAAAAATTCTGCCGAGAAAGGCAGGAGCCCCACGGCCGCGGCTCTGCTCAGTCTCGTGGTGCGTTTTCTCCCCCCGCTTCCGTACCGTTGTCGGAGCAGCAGCCGAGCTGCTTAATTTGCCAGAAGCTAAAGCAAACGACGCAAGGCTACGAGCAACCCGCCGCTGCCCTCTCCCCTTCGGGCGCCCGTCAGGCAGGAACCACCTCCCGGCCACGTGCCCCGAGCCCTTCCCCGCGCTTCTGGCCTTCCCTTCCAGGAGCAACCGGGCTGAAAGAGCTCCTGGCCGAAGAATAACAGATGGCGCTGAATAAACCACTGAAAATTCCCATCCTCTGAAGTTCTCGGCAAATGGAAAACACAGAGGGGCTGTTGTACTGCAGAGCGGCGCGAGATCTACAGCCCGGCTGAGCCGTCGGGTTAGACAAACACCATAACCGCTGGGGACAAGACAAGGTCTTTTGTTAAACCCTCCCTGGAGGGTATTAATCCACGAGCTTGGAAGACACATGATAAAACTAGTGAATTCTCTCTCGAACACCCGTATCTCGGGCTGAGCTCTCGGCAATCGCAGGGTATACACTTCCTCCTTGAAAACTGCTCTTTGTTCTGTTTCCAGTAAGACCGTGGCTGATCACAAGCTCTTTCAGTCATATGTATTTTCATACAGAGATCATCTGCAAATATTTAAGAGCGCAACTCATTTGCAACTAAGAGGGCAAGCACATCAGATTAATAAGAAAATTAACTGTGTCATGCAAATATACTTCTTCATTTCTCCCTGTGAGCTAGAAGAAATGGTTATTGTGCCTGTCCCAGGACAGGGGGGGGGGATCAACAGTTTAATATACCCGGCCTGGGGGAAAAGCGCTTTCAGAATATACAGGGGGAAAGGACTTGTCAAGGCAAGAGATCTAAAAACTCAATTTAAAAGAAAAATCAAGGAGGTTAAAAACCCTTCTGAGACCACAGGCATCTTGGCTCATTTAAAATGAGAGCCAGAAGTCTCCCCAAAGAGACAAAAGAAAGAAAGAAAAAAAAGAAAGGACCCACTCGAAAGACACAAAACGAGGAGAAAACGCATCGCGCGGCAGCAGGGAATCGCTGTCAGCCGCGGGCACGTCTCAAGAGAGCGCTCTGCTTCCCGCGGCCGCTCGCTCGCCAGGACCTACCTCGGGGAGCCGTGATGATCCTGGGGTTCACCTTGAAGCGCCCCGCCACCCACAGACCCAGCTGGCTGGCCCACAGGGCCACCAAGAGGACAACCGGGGTCCTTCTGCCCATTTCTACTTATTCTGGGAGCAGAGATCAGGAGCCTGAGAGCGGCATTTCTTATGAGCGGATGCAACCCAGATCAGCCAATGAGTGCAACGAAGGAGGGACTAAGGGCTTTCTTCTCCAGAAGGGCTGCTGCACATTGCTAACAGCCCAGCAGGGAGAGCTCGCTAATGGGAAACTCCTGGCAGCAAGGCTGCAGCATAGCTCAGGCGCCAGCCTTCTCCCTGCTAGCGCTACAAGAAGATCATAGCAAAGGGCCACTCCTAACAACACAAAAGATTTATCCCAAAACTCATTCGTCATCACAAGTCAAGAAGAACACCAGAGACGTGATGAGGACTCAACCGCCGGTGTCCCTCGTCCTCCGTGTCGCCCAACAGCGATCCTAGCCAGACCACTCAAACACGGGTCTCACGTGTGTCATAGGCTTGTGAGCATGAGAGTAAACGAAATTAGAGCATGAATGTATAAAATCTGTTTACGTAGAGGTGTGGTGAATAAATATCCTGTTCCATAAGATCTCACACTGACTTTTGTCATGCTAATGCTCTCTGAAATGACAAGATGCTTAGCAGGGCGCAGCACCCTGGCCCATGGGACTGGCCTGCTACCAGGTCTGTGGTGCGACCTTTGGAAAGTCGCTTCACTTTGCCAGACCTCCATTCCCCATTAGGAGGCCAGCAAGGGCTGACAGTCTTTGTGAAGTGCTGAGAGATTTGTTAATGAGAAGAGCAGGGCATTACGTGCAAGGAAAGCGAGGTCGGACGTGACCAGAATAGGAGAGCCCCACGGGGAACGCACAAGGACATGAGAGATGCAGCTGCACTCTCTTTAAAGTCAGTGCTGAAGCTAGACCCGAGACTGCTCCGCTCCTGAAGGAGATGAACAGTGGCAGTTCAAGGGGACATTTCGGAGGAAGCAAAATATTAATGAGCCAGCTAATTGTCAGTTTTAAGGACCCAAAGGAATTTCCCACTAACTCTAAGCGTGGGGTTTCTCTCTCTCATCTTAACCAAATAGCCATTTGGGTAATTACAGTATGACAACATACAGATCATCTCTGGTTTTCCACTTTTGGACATGGTGATTCCCAGATTAGCCTCGAAGCGTTCTGCATTACTGTTCACCTTTAAGCAACTGTCCATTTCACCCCAGAGGTTACTGCATTTCTCCACCAGCCCCACTGATCCAGGAGGTACTCAACCCCATTGCCCCTTGCTTTCTTGCAGCACAAGTCAGAAAAGGCTTGCTGGAAAACGCGTGTGCAATTCATTAAGGCTCTTTCACACAGTCAGGAGTGAAAAAGAAACAGGAGGGCACCATTTGCAAATCAACAGCCTAAGCCAAACAACCCACATGTGCTCCTTAATAAACATGACAACTTAACAATTTGCATCCACCAAAATTTGGGCTACGTAAATGGACATTGCATACATTACTACCTGCTTTGTCTTTTATGACCTGATGTGGTTTTTCTTTCATGTGGCTCATATAACTACAATTTTACAGCACTAAGTCACCATCCAAATAGGACTAGCATCACTGGCAGTCTGTACCAGCAAGACCACAGCCAGGCCTGCATCAATGGGAAAGATCAAAGAAAACTGGTGGAGCAGGGACCTTTCTGATGACATTTCATTTAAACCCCAGGATGGACAGAGAAAGGCACAGCCTCAATCCAGCTGAACAGGGCAACTTCACAACTGTGTGATGCTGTAAGAAGACGTGCATACAGCCGACTATTTTTAATCCCTTCCCTGTTCTTTATTGTCAATCCAGTTGAGTCCAAACGTAGAAGACAAATGAGAATAAGTCTGCAAGCATCTGTTTGAAAAGCTCTGTCTCCCTTGAGGACCTGCTGTTCCTCCAGACCTCCCCAGGCCGCCCTTCTTCCCCTTAGGAAACATTCATGGGGAAGATATGAGGATTTTCTATGTTCATGTAATATTTCCGGCCCCGTAACAGCCTGACCAGAACTACTAGATAGGACCATTCGCCAGTGCGTCTGGTAAGACATGACCCATGTGTGTGGACAGACTACCTGGGGAAGGGGGTGCAGGGGCCCTGTGCCTCCCTACAGCATCAGAGGCACTGTGTTCACGTCACAGCCCCACTCATAGATCTGTGCCTGGGAACCACCCAGCCGATCCGGTGGCCGTCTTCCTGCACGCTGGCTCGCAGATCCCCTTCTCAACAAAGTTACCAACTCATAACACAGATGGGTTCTGTTCAGAGAGGAACTAGGAGAGCTTCTGCCCTGTGACAATAGTAAATCCTTTTCTTTCTCCCTTTCTTTGCTGTTAATTGACACACCCTGGTACTCTGTGGGGCTGGCTTTTGGGTTTTTTCCCCATCTACACTTGAAGACAATGCCCCCTATGCATAAAATTCAGCTTCAAATTCTCCCGAGAGTTTAGAAGTGTTCAGCTCTGAGCTGCTTCTAGTTCAACACATCTGATATCACTGTCCTCTGTTTCCTAGGCCACCAGCTGAACCACCCCATGAACAGGACTGTATTGCACCCCTGGACTCATACTGATGCTGTAGGGCTTGCTAAGCAAAAGGCTTAGCAAACAGCTTGCTGGGTATCACTGTGTCGCGTGGCATCTCTGTACTGTATCTCACCTCTTTGCTGGGTAGACCTTCCCCATCACAGGACCCCAAATGATGGTTTCATGCCTGGGGACAGGGGAAGGCTGACAAATCTGTAGGAGAAAAAAGGTCTTGGGGCAAACTAGAGATTGGAGTCCAAGGCCAGTTCCAAACTCAAAGCTGACAGCCCCAGCAGTTGTCCCAGGTCCTTGGCTACAGGAGATCATGCAGTTCAGTACAAAGCTGCTCTGAGATCTCTGCAGAACAATCACCAGCAAAGGAGACTACAGCAGAAGGGAAAAACATGGACCCAAAAAGCTAATTACAACTCTTCAAATGAAGAGTCTTCACTAAAACTGAGCTCTCGCCCAAAAAGTCTTCTGCGCCACCCAGAAGCTATAGCTCCCCTTAGCGTCCCTACTCCTCCCTGCAAGTTGCTTCAGTGCAGCAGCATGATTGCAATCAGCCAGGGTGAGCCTGACAGAGAGACCCCAAGGCACTGCACAGGACTGTGCATCCAGCCCCCTTCATCAACCCAGTTTCTCCTCATTTGCTTGAGGTGACCTACAGTTTGGATAAGATCTGGGAGTCAAGGGACTGCCCACACACACACTGGGCAATGACCTGGGAAAACAGCCACTCCTTGACACCCAGCTGCCCGGAAGGGGCAGGGCACCCTGTGTATGCAGAGGCATATAGCCGCAGAGCGTAATGCTGTGTTATGAGATTTGATCAAGGAGCCAGCTCAGCTTGCAGACTTAGGAGGCAAGGAGTACGGAGCTGATTTCAAGTCTTCTTTATCAGCTTTGTTCCAACCCTATGTCAGCGTGCACAAAGTGCTAGATGTGGAACTGTGCCCTGAATACAGCAACACTCAACCAAAAAATGACTGGGCATTAAGTACACGCACGCATACTTCCCAATAACTCAAAGAGTTTCTGGGAGAGTTTGTTTGCTCAGGACCTCCTCTAAATGACCTCAGTCAGATGTTGTGGTACTGAACAAGGAATGCACAAACAAGAGATCAGATTGCAGGCACGCACATTCTTCTCTTTCAGCCCCTCCTGAAAGCGGAGGTTTCTGTCAGGTTCGCTCAGGGATTAGAATTGCCAAAGTACAAATCAGGTGCAGTTTCATTCAGATTGCACTATTCAGCTGCAAAACGGATAAGAACTCAGCTTCCCCCAAAGTACCTCAAAATCATAAAGCACAGATTTTCCCAACAAGAATGCTCAGTTTTATTTACAAAAGCAGAGAAGATCCCTAGGACATAAACATTCAAGCAGCCTGTAACGAAACCTCCACTGTTTTTACGGGCATCGTTTCAGGCCCGTTAGAGAATGGCAGGTATGTTGGAACACCACTCAAGAGCATAGTAATCATTATCTACTAACCTCCCACCAGACCAGGAACGTGTCAAGAAATACCGACTAGATATTATGGATTTGGACACAGGCGTATTTTCCCTGGAAAATTTCATCATCAACAGAAAGAAGCACAAACATCCCTAAAATTTAAACATTCTTCTCCCTGTGAAAGCCAGGCAAGATCTATTCACTGGTGCGCCAGCTCTTCCAGAAACATGACAAGTGGAGCTTGATCTCTGGCTGTTATCAGCCATGGCAGCTTCAGGAAAGTACCAAAGAGGGACCTTTTGGGGCATAGCATAAAGGACTGAGGATGTTCGCCAGGAAAAAGTTAGCACATCTCAGATGATCAAGGGTCTTGTTAGTACTCTCACATTAGCAAGCGACGCTGTCAACAGCGAGGAGGCAAAACAGTGAGCTGTACACCTCTGCCACATGGCCTGCCAGGAGCTTGAGCACCCCTCAGCGCGGATCCCAAAGGCTTTACACAGAGTAAAGCAAGTGCAACGCACAGCTCTCCCCGTTTCAAAGAAAATTAAAACGAAGAAGCACGTTGCTTTGTTGAGATCGATCTGCCACACAGAGCTGCATACTGATACGTTAACATTGCACAGTGCGTCAGCTCCGTTTTCCTGAGGGCCCAAACGGTGTTGCTCACCTGAAACGCTCGGTGTTTCCCAGCTGCTGTGCTCCTCTCTGCTCCCTAGCAGGCCTGGCTTTCAGGGCAGCACTGCCACATGCTGCAAAGCAGCTATGCTTCAGCATATTAGCATTATTAGCTCCATTAGATCCACAAAGTCCTCCTGGTAACGCACAAGTTAAGGTGCAGCCTCCACAATCGGCTCCCCAGTTCCCTGCCATAAATAGGAGCTAGAGTCTAAGTCCATGTTTTCCTCTGAGAAATCAGTGCAAATCCCCTGGTCCCCAGGGAGCCACTTCAAACTATCGTTGAGAAAACCGTCAGAAGAAACTCATAAGCTGGCCAGGCACGTAAGGTAAGCGTAGGCTGCTGAGGAAAGTAAACTCCCGTAAAGATAATCAGTTGACCTTGTAGTGTTAAAATACTTCTAGCGTTGATATCTGTCCCGCCAGGAAGGGAGAGACGTCTAAAAAATGTTATATCTCCTGATACT